AGCCCCCTCTGCTTCTTGGCCTCCTGTCCCTTTTTACCCCCTTCCCTAACCCCCACAGCCCCCCTTACACGGCAATGGGTGTTGGTATTCAGGCAACTGTACTGGCCCGCCCTTGGGATTCTGACAGGATACACCCTCAGCTGCAGTCATTAAGAGCACCACCTGTGCACATTCACTACTCTCCTTTTTAAATGGCCCTGCCCATCTCCCATCTTTCTCTCTGAGCTTTTCTGCCTAGGCCCCCTCTCTTCTCTTCTGCAGCTCCTGTCGGGAAGAGGAAGGTCGGGAAGGGAAGGTCGGCTTCCCCTCTTCCCTCCCCTTTTCTCATTCACTTTTCCCTAATAAAAATTCCCTCCACCCAAGTTCTTTTGTATGGCATCATTTAAATTACATCAGTGTATGGAGGGGGTGTTACTTGTTTGGTCATCCATGCATTTTTTTTAATGTGTACAATTTCGGAACTAGGTAAAGAATCTGTTAAATGTAATGCATTTCAAGGAGGGAACTTCCAATGAAGAGCAAGAATTATAAAAGTATGCTTTTATATGGACGGTCAGGAGCATGAAACTTAGTGATGTACAGCAAAATTAGAGACAAAACTCATGGCCTTTCCACATTTTTTATGTTATTATATTTTGTCCTCCTTATGATTTTTTTTTGAGACAGGGTTAATGGAACTCACTATGGAGATCAGGAAGACCTCAAACTCAAAGATTACCCCCGCCCTTGTCTCCTGAGTGAGGGATTAAAGGCTTGCACCATCATGCCTGGCACTGTTATGACTTTTTGGAAGTTGAACAAGAGAAATATTTTTATGACAGCTTTGCCCAGGGACTGGAGATATAACTTAGCATTGGCTGCTCTTTCAGAGGACTCTGGGTTCAATTCCCAAAACACGGCAACTCACAATTGTCTGGAACTCCAGCTTCAGGGAATCTGATGACCCTCTGGCCTCTACCTATACCAGGTCTTCATAGAGTGCACAGTAGAACAAGCAGGCAAAGCATACAAACACATTAAAAGAAATAAGCTTTTACCACAGTAACATTTGGAGTGTTTTATTTTGGCATAAACTCTGATATTTTCTAAGATTTAGACCTCATTAAAGGTGTTCATAAGTTTCTTATTTTATGTTTTTATTATATATACTGTTATGATTTGTAAGCAGAGAATATCAGAAAATGGTATATCACATTATTTACAATGGTGATTTTCTCTCTAGTATGAATTTTCTAATGTCTCCTAAGACTTGTAATATGGATATAGAATATGTCAGCTTTCAAGTTTTTAAGGTTTTTCTCCAGTATGAATTTTCTGATGTGTCCTAAGATGTTCATACCTGGTAAAAGATTTGTCACATTCCGTACAACTGTGAGGTCTCTCTCCAGTATGAACTCTCTGATGTCTTCTAAAATGTGAGCAAGTGGTAAAAGATTTGTCACATTCCTGACAACTGTAAGGTCTCTTTCCAGCATGAATGCTCTGATGTGTTCTAAGTAGTGAGTATTCACTAAAGGACATATCACAGTCTTTACATTTGTAAGGTTTTTCTCCAGTATGAATTTTCTGATGTATTCTAAGATGATCATACCTGGTAAAAGATCTGTCACATTCCTTACAACTGTGAGGTCTCTCTCCTGTGTGAACTCTCTGATGTCTTCTAAGATGTGAGCAAGTGGTAAAAGATTTGTCACATTCCTGACAACTGTAAGGTCTCTCTCCGGCATGAATGCTCTGATGTGTTCTAAGTAGTGAGTATTCACTAAAAGACATATCACAGTCTTTACATTTGTAAGGTTTTTCTCCAGTATGAATTGTCTGATGTATTCTAAGATGTTCACACCTAGTAAACGATTTGTCACATTCCTTACAACTGTGAGGTCTCTCTCCTGTGTGAACTCTCTGATGTCTTCTAAGATGTGAGCAAGTTGTGAAGGATTTGTTACATTCCTGACATCTGTAAGGTCTCTCTCCAGTATGAACTCTCTGATGTATTTTAAGACTTTCAATGTGAATAAAGGATACGTCACAGTATTTGCATTTATGAAGTTTCTCTCCAGTATGAATTTTCCGATGTTTCCTTAAACCATAAGAATGGGCAAAAGATTTGCCACATTCCTCACAACTGTAAGGTCTCTCTCCAGTATGAACACTCTGATGCATTCTAAGTTGTGACTCCCAGGAAAAGGATTTGTCACATTCCATACAACTGTAAGGTCTCTTCCCAGTATGAACTCTCTGATGTTTTCTAAGATTTGCCATATGAATAAAGGACACGTCACAGTCTTTGCATTTAGGAAGTTTCTCTCCAGTATGAATTTTCTGATGTGATCTAAGATATGAAGAGCTAGTAAAAGACTTCTCACATTCTTTACATCTGTAAAGTTTCTCTCCAGTGTGAACTCTCTGATGTCTCCTAAGATATGTGTGTTCGGTAAAGGATTTGCCACATTCCTTACATTTGTGAGGTTTCTCCCCAGTATGAATTTTCAGATGTCTCGAAAGGTATGAGTTCCAGGTAAAGGATTTGTCACATACCTCACATTTGTAAGGCTTTTCACCAGTATGGATTCTGTAATGCCTGTTAAGAAGAGATACCTCAAGAAAGGACTTACCACATTCTTTGCACTTGTGTAACTTCTCTAGAGAATGAGTTCTCTGGTGCTTTCTCAATGAGGTATAGTGGGGAAAGGCTCTGTCACACTCATTGCACTTGTAAGGCTTCTCTCCAGTATGGAGTCGGTAATGGATTTCAAATTGTGAAAGCTTATGAAAGACCTTGCCACATTCTTGACAATTATAATATCTCCCAGCAGTGTGCAGTTTCTGATGTCTCCTGAAATTGGAATAGCGGGCAAAGGATTTGTCACAATCTTTGCATTTGTAAGGTTTCTCTCCAGTATGAAGTCTTTGATGTGTTTTAAGACTTGAACGTTGGGTAAAGGATTTTTCACAAACGTTGCACTTGTAAGGTTTAACTCCAACATGAATTCTCTCGTGTTCGGTGAGGCTTGAGGTGGTTCTGAAGTATTTCCCACATTTCCCACATTGATGTGGTTTCTCTGCAATGCAGATTGGTTGTTGAAAAAAAGTGTATGCATAGCTGAAATAGTCATCATATTCTTCCTGCCTGTATTCTTTCTTTGTAGTGTAGACTCTCTGATCTAGAGTAATGTTGGAACACAAATTTAAAGATTTCTCACAGTCTTTAGATCGGCAAGGTTCTTCTCCAGTGTGCATGCTTTCACGTCTGTCTGGGTTTGATGAGTCAACAAAGGCATCCCTGGGATTACTGCATGTGTAGTTATTGGAGTTTTCTGTAGTTTCACTTGTTCTATAAAGTGCACATGTGGAGGGGTCATGAAGCACTTTGCCAAGCTCATTACACTGACAAGACTCCTTTTCAGTCTTCACATGGTGTTGGACAGGATCACATTTGCAATAGTTCTCTGAAAATGAGTAAATTCAGATTAATAGGGCTTGTTCCAATAATAAACATGTGATAAATGACTGTCTCCCTAAGTTGTCACTTAAGATAAGTGAACATGGAATTATTTAGTTTACAGCATCCAGTAATGGACAGTTTTCATTCACTGTAGATGTATGGATTCTCACAAACATAACAAGACAGCCTTCAAAGGTCAGCGCATTATAACAGATATCTCATCTATCTCAAAAATCTCTAAATGGGAAAAAGATTAGAAGAAATAATTGATGGCCGTGAACTAGCTTTGGGATAGAACTCCATGAAAGATTATATTAAGAATATATGTCGCTATCTTTAAATATTTCTTCTTGCAAATTGATGAAGAGTTTAATCCAATACCGGGCACACAGGATTTATACTAAATGATAGGCAATGAAGAGTCGTCTTCAGAATACTCAATTCCTTTAAAGATTAAAGTCTTTAGAAAAACACATTAGAGTCTTCAATAGTAATGGGTGCAAAGAGAGCATTCTTCCAGACATCAGAGGCTCTAGATCATTTGAGGCAGGCCTGTTATGGGCAGCTTTTTCTTATTTCTATCCTCCACTGTCTGAGCTCCACACACTACTGTGTTCTTAACTTTACTCATAGGGTTGTTCTCAGGTCCACTCTGTACACTGACTCCTGAGATTATTTCCCAGAAGACTGTCTGTGTACTTAGCATGGGGAAGAAAATGAAGGATGTAGCATGAAGATATGCATACAAGGAAGGCAATTGCAGACTAAGCCTACTCCATGGAGTCACTTTAGACTTAAAATTTTGTCAAATTATTCCAATCCAATTTCAGCATGGTCAAATAAAAATGCATTTTGTACTAGTTTTATGTCACTAGAACAGAGGTGTAACAACATGCAAAGCCTTGTTGCAGTTATTACAGTAGACAGGATGCATCCTGCAGCCAGGACACTACACTAAGTTAGAGATCAGGAATCCATTCAAGAGGAATTGAATATCACGGAAACATTCTCAGCTCTGGCTTTCTCTTTCACTTGAAGCCTTCACTGTTGTCGTGCTCATTCACTAGTCCACCCTCGTTGTGGTTCTCTCTCCTCTCCACATTCCAGGGCAATCTCATTCTTTCCAGACAGGTGACCATGCCTGCCTGATACAATAATCCACATGTTCTTTGAGGCAGCAATGAGTCATGGTAGAACTTTTAAAAAGAATAGAGACGTCTAAAACAGTCCTATTCTCGGTACATGAAAAGACAAAGCAGAGGAATTTAGTCAAGGATTCTCCATTGATATTTCTTGTCAAATTCTTGAGTATATTCAGTATTTTTGGTCTGTATATATTAAGTTTTTCTCACAAATAAACTATGACAATTGCAATAACAGACATAGGGTTTTAAGATATGAGTGGAAATATTATATGCTACTGAGTTTATGGATGAATCTTGGAATGAAAACAAAGAGGAGATGACACCATTGAAATGGAAATGGAAAGAGGAAACTAAATAGCATGAAAAACTTTTTTCCTACCACTACACTTTGCCTTATCTTCTGATGGATTTTGAGAATGCCTCAACAGATTTCACATCGTAAGAAGTCACAACAAACAAAAGAGGGGTTAGGAATTCTACAATCAAATTTCACTCACCCACAAAGACAAGGTTATTGTAATTCTCCAGCATCACATCAATGCACAAAGCCCTCTGAGCAGAGTCCAGGCATTCCCACTCCTCCTGGGGGAAGTACACAGCTACATCCATGAATGTCAACAGACCCTGAAACAAAAAAGGTATGATTTAACCGAGTGTTATCTGGAACTGTTTTCCTGGATATAAGGAGACAGAATGCAGGGGATCTAAGATAATTACTCAAACATATGACAATACAGTCACATTCTATCATGAATGTTCTAACTCTGAGAAAACAGGATGACACAATAGTCTTACAAGCAGTATACATGAAACAGGAAATACATTTAAGGTCTGGACACAGTTATCTATCTGTTATGTATGCTGTATTTATGCCCCACAGGATCATAGTGTACATGTCTCAGAAGGAAAATACATGATGAGGAGATGTGCTTTAAAATCAATCCTGTGTGTTATCGTGGGCCTTACATGACTATATTCTAATATGCTCAACTGGGATGTTTAAACTCTAGGTCCAATGGCACACCACTACACAGCAAAGGGGTAGGTATGGAAAATAGAATATATGACTGATTTTATATTCGAGAGTTTTGTTTTTTCCACAGTAGCAATGATTGTAACAGTACTACATATTGTTTACTTTAACATTGACAAATAAGATAAGTAGTGTGTGGAATTAATTTTATGAGATTAGGGCCACTACAGACAGATAGAAAAATCTGTATCAGCCATATTTGTTATAATTAAAATTTTCCCTAACAATATGCATAAGCCAACAAAGACAAGTAACAATTTCAGAAGTTTTACAGAATATTTCACTTCACTCTCAAAGAGTAATAGAAACTGAAGTTAGTCCAAAACATACATCAAAAAATATTCAAAGTAGAGTGAAAAGAATCTGTACCAGTGATATTTTGGATAACGTTCATAGCAAAAATTTACCAAAAATTAATTTAATTAAACACTGAGGAAGTAAAACTGCAAATCAACAAATGGCCTAAATAGACATTTTTCATAGACAGAAACTCAAATGGCCAATAAACATTGCAAAATCACTCAGGATGTAAAAAAGGCCATTGTGGAAACTACTTCAATTAAAACTACTTCAAAATACGACCAGATTCCAGACAGAATGGCTGTCATCAACTAACCTGACAACAAATATCAGAGGGGATATGAAGAGAAAGTCTTATTCCCTGTTGATGGAGGGGAGGGTGCAAATTAATACAGCCATTATTGTAAGAATCAGTTTGGAGATTATTGAAAAAATGGAAGAGAGAACTAACATATGACCCAGCTCTTTCACTCCTGGCCATATACCCAGAGAACACACAGGCCTCTACGGAGATACTTATATACCATGTGTACTGCTGTTTTAATCGCCAAAGGAAAAGTGCTGAAGTCAAACTAATTTTCTATCAACAGATGAATGGAAATGAAAAGTGTATAAAATGGAGGTTTAAATGATTATCATTTTTTAAAGTTTTATACAAAAACTGTTTATCTGAAGAGAAAAATATAGTAAAAATTTGCAGGAAAATGGACAGACCCAAAATATGTAATATTCAGTGTGGTCATCTATTTTTAGAGAGAAGACACCCCATTTTTGCTCACATGCACTATCTCCCCAGTCACATGTGTATATAGGAACAATGTTAATACGGACACAGTATAACTTGGAGAAAAGAGAACAGGAAGGTTACATTATCAGGGACCGGATGCAGGTAATGAACACCAGTTATGGAAAAATTAATTAAGCTAAGAGCTTTTCTAGTTCTAATTCTGTCAAAGGTTTTTGGGTTTTGGGTGGTGGATCAGTAAATCAAAATATACTCAGTTGTGAAATATGAAATCCCATGTGAGGCTCCAGAGTGTTCCTTCCCTATGATGACACGAACTGTATAAAAGTACACCAAGTTTTATAGTCTTTGGGTCTGTGTAATTGCAGTGTGTGATTTTGTTGTTTGTCTGTTTGCAGAATTGATCAGAATAAAATTTTGAAAATTATCAGAAACAGAAAATTAAAGGCTTTTCATATATCAAAGTATAATATATTTAATGAAGAGTGGGAAGGACCACTCACCTGTGACATGCTTACTGGAGAATCAGCCATTTCTTACTGTTTCTCTTCTGGGAGTTTCTCTTTTAGGAACAATGAATAGACGGCTTGCTCCTCTTTGAGAAATAAAAAAAAGAGTCAAAAAGGAAAAGTTAAAATTAATACTGAAAGCTATTAAAGAACAACGTCAAACAACATGAAAAGAGCCAAGCGAAAATATACCACCAGGTGTCTAGTCAATGATCCCAAAGACAAGAGTGCACAGAAAGATATTTGAACCTTTAAGAGACAATCACCATCAAGCATCTTGTAGCACAAAGAAGATTATTCCCTTAATTTTGATGAAGACACAAGTGCATTTCAAGACAATCACCAATCAACACAGTTGATTTTACTAATGCACCAGTGCAGATAATAAATTAGAGCCAAAACATACACAGGAGAGTCAGAGGAATCAATCATTCATGAGAACATGGGAAATAGTAAGTTTCATGTGAAGAACAGAGAAATACAGGAGAACAGGGAAGAAATCATCCATGAGCAAGACAGCAAACCACTATTTCTCAAAGAGAAGGAAGAATACTACCAATAATTCAACCATCAACAACATAACGACAAAACAATAGGAAATAAAGATGCCTTGAACGAAAAAACTAGCCACATGGAAAATCAAAATAGTGACTCAAATTGAGGACTCAAAATAGTGAGTCCTCAATTAAATAAACAAACCCTCAAGTTAAATAAATTCAGCACCTGACCATTCCTCAAGTTCCATTCCTCAAAGGACTCGACATCCTTGCTCACTCATGTTCAGTGCTGAAATGGAAACAACCTAAATATCCTTCGGCTGTCAAATTGACAGTGAAAGTGTGGTACACATACACTATAAATATTATTCAGTTGTAAAGATATTGAAAATCACAAGCTTTGCAGGTAAACAGATTGACTTTAAAAATATCATATTGACTGAAGTAACTCAGACCCAGAAAGACAGATATTGCATGATCTCTCTCATAGGAAGTTACTAGCTCCAAATCTTCAGATGTGAGTCCACAACCTGGACTGACTGCAGTAACAAAAAAAGTGGAGTCTGTGGGAGTAACAGTGACAGGAGTGACAAGTAACAAGTGATGTCAAGGGGGGAAATGAAAAACAGGGGTGAGGACAGATATAAAAACAGAAGAAGGAGGTTAAAATAACAGTAAGGATACCTGGAAAATTCATAAGGAACCCACGTATTCCTTGACTATTATCCACCCACCAAATAAACAACTAAATAAATAAATAAATAATGATGCCTGAGTCTGTAAGCAAGAAAGTTAGAGTATAAATGAAAATTTCCCACACCGGCCTGGTTTGAACTTGTTGGTCACAGCTGTCTAAGAAACTTCCAAACATTAGAGGGCATTGCAGTTGCCCATGGTTGCCTCCCAGAAGAGGCAGAAGGTGAGTCCCTAGTGCTGAAGAAGCCACACACCTCAGACACAAATACCAAAGGACTCGGGATGAAACTGATCTTAAAACCTCCTTCCTGGGGACTAGGTTTCATGGTACCAGAAGGCAACATGGAAGTTTTCAAAGGAGGGAACCAGCCAACAGCCCTACCCAGCTATGACACCTGTGAACCACAACAATGATCTGCACTGCACGATGACCCTAAGGGTGCAAGAGTGGCACTCAAACCTTGGTGGTGACCAACAGCTTCTAATTGGATTAAGATCCTCCCAACGAGAGGGAGAACATGCCTGGTACTGGAAAGCTAACCAGTTTCCCCAGAGCTAGGAAAGCCATGGGTCCTGGAGGAGAACCTACAACCACTACTTTCTAAGTCAGCATAAGTCCTCACTGCATTCTCAATATTTCTCCTAAATTCCAAAGACAATAGGAGCCAGCATAGATGGAGAGTAGCAGGCTGTAAATATATCTTTCTGATTCTTATCAAAACTCTGTTGGCATTATTTTCAGGAACAGAGACAAAAACACTAAAAGGTAGGGAATGTGCTAGAATACCAAAGGTCCAAAATTCTGAACACAATAAATAAACCTAAAGATATTGTCAAAAACTTTTATACTATATTAAAATGATATAAATGAAAATGATTCACTATTAGTATGAAAACATGGTCAGTGATATGAATGAATAAGGACAGTATCACTCACATGCAGAGTCAGATAAAATTTTATTGACTCTATTATCAGTTGTTCTGAAGAAAGCCTTCTCATGCCCACATTAGAATAATCCCAAGATGTTCCTCAGTGGGAGTCTAGACTGTTATTTCTAGTGAAACAGAATGTGGTCAAACTGATTTCCTGACCCACTTCCACACTCACTCAATCCCTTTCCTCTCCTCTGCCAATCCCTCCACCAAACCTGTATCCTAAGCTTCTGACTCCTCTGTCCTTCCAGGCCCCTTTGTTCTGCTGCAGGTCTGGGTGATCAGTGAGCCCTGCACACGAGAAAGATTGTTCAGGAAGCCCCTGGGTTTTTAACACAGTACTCTAATCAGTAGACGAAGAGAAAACTAACTACGGGATTATACAAATGATTCCCTAACTCTCTTTCACTGTCAGAATACTGAAAACAATTAGAAAGCATTTTTAGTTCTGTTAGTTTGAATCCCACTTGCAATCACAGCTCAGTCAAAACTCAGGGGCAGAAATGGTACTGAATGACTGAGAAGAGGATGTCACACACTAGGGAGGTTCTGAATTGACCATGGACCAATAATGATGGATGCTCACACCTCCCAAAGGAACACACAAGAAGAAGAGAGAACATCTCATGAAAACTTTCTTTTTTCCCTTAGAAGATTTCACTTTATTCTGTGGGATGTGAGACTCATTCACACAAAGCTCACACACTTGCCAATTAGTTTGTCAGGAAATACTGAGGAGGAGCAAGGGAAAAAGCAAGCTAACCCAATCCCAGTCACAGACACCGGACTGCTGGAGTTTGCAAAATCCAGTCCCAGTACAAAGCCCTCATGGAAGGGTCCAGGCATTGCCACTCCTCCTGAGAGAAGTCCACAGCAACATTGGGACAAAGAGGTGGGTAGAACTTAGTGTTTTCCAGTCCAGCCTGGTTGGGCCAGAGAGGGAGAAAAGGTGAGTTCAGGTCACAAACACAGTGAACACCAGAACCAAAAAATAACAGTTTTGTCATGAGTACATGGACAGAGTGGATTTTTTTTTTTTTTTTTTTTTTTTTTTTTGCCAAGGAGAAAAAAGAA